GGGCGGGCGGTCGACACGGGCACGCCTGCGTGCAAATGCATCTCGCAGGCGTTGAGTAGCAATGCATCAGCAGCAGCACTCTTCTTGCAACGTCGGGTCGTGGCGTGGCAGTGGTGTGCTGCGGGGCACTGCTGAATTTCCAGACAGAGGTCTCAGGGCCCGCTGAGGTGCGGAGGCCAGCCTCGGCCGGCGCTCTAGAGACCAGGCGGTTCGGCGACGGGGCCCACCTCCGCTGCATACCACTGCCATGGGATGCTCCCAGATGCGCGCGGACGCCCCTGGCTTTGACGCGCGAGTGGAGGATCTGTACAGAGTGCGCCCCGCGTCAGGGCGGTCCAGGGGGAGTGTTGTGGGGGGCTGGAAAATCCTGGGGAGGGGAGGTATCAGGCGGTGGGGCCGGGCTTGGCACTGCCAAGTGGGGGGTGTTGAGGGCGTGCAAGCGGCGTTGCCAAGCGAGCCAGGTTGTGCGCAGCACATCCGCCCCCTGACGGCCAGGGGGCAGGGTGAGTACAATTAAACCTGATTTGGACAGGCCAGGCGTGTCACTGCTGGCACGTGCGCCCCTGCTGCGTCTCTGCCGCGTGGCGTCATCTCACTGGATTGCACCTCTCGCACGCACCGCACCCAGGCGCTGCGCCACCACGTGGAGGATGAGGATGAGGAGCTGGACAAGTTTGCAGCAGAGGTGGGGGTTGGATAGGGGCTGAAGCGCCCATTCCTCAAGTTGTACCCTCAATTTCTGATCATGCCTGTGTTGGATGGTGTGCAGATGGTAATCTGCCTGCTGCACCCGTATGGCAGCCACTGGCTGCAAGCATGCCCTGGTTTTGGGCAGCCAACGTATTGCTCCGGCCCAGGTGGTGTGAGTCCAACCCGACTCGTTCGTACTGGCCGCGTTCGCCGCAGGTGGACCCCTCTGAGCTGCGCCAGCTGGGCGACAAGTTCACCAGCGTCAAGGGCTACCTCCCCACTCGGTGAGACCCCAGGAGCCTGCCTGCATCGCCCCATGAGACGTGGGCACGCAGCAGGCAGTCCCCACGGCGTCCTGTCCCGCAGCTGCGCCTGCTGGGTTGCAAGGTGCAATGGTTGATGCGGGTGGCAGCTGCGACAAGCAGCAGCAGCAGTGCTGCTGGGGATGCTTCATCACAAATGGGGTGACTTGTTTGTCTGCTGTCTGGCTCTTCATCCTGTGCCCTCTCACTTAGATATCAAAATTAGACACCCCCAACCCAGATCCTCCACACTTGCACACACATAATCGCCACACCGCTGCCTCCTCAACACCTTGCAGGCAGCACAGCGCTCATTCATCCAGCAGCGCTGCATCTGCTTAACCCGCCGCAACATCACGCGCCCTCCCTGTCCCGGCCCATCCGCAGGCCCCACCTCAACGCCCCCGACAAGCCCTCCGACGGCCTGGTGGTGGCCGACCGCCTGACAGCCCCCATTGACAGGCTAAGGGATGCGGCTGAGCAGCGCCGCGTGTGAACAAACTTTCGCCTTGGACAAGTAACCCCCCCTTACCATGTGTGTGGAGGGATGGATGGCTTCGCTGCAACAGCGTAGATGTGCGCATGGCAGGCGTTTCGCGCCACGTATTGTTCTGAACAACAGATGTGTGCGCACACGTGTGAGACAGGGTCTGCACGGCACCGCTCGCAGCGCGATTTTGTGATGCCTGGACATCATAAAGGAATCAGTACAGCGCACACGCAGAGACGGCGCGCCGCACAACAGCCATAGGCCGGTTGTGGTTGATATTCCGGCTGCAATTTTGATTGGCTCTGCCGCACTTTTCTGACAGCACGTTTGTTGGCTTGAAACTTCGTTGGAACGGTCGTATGCCACTCAGTGCAGGCATGTGGGGCCACGCGTTCTGCAAGTTTGAACAGCTCCCCTGGTTGTGTGAAAATCAATTGGATCAACGCGCTCATGTCTGCAATCGAGTTGCTGAAGTCGCGCATTTGCGTTGCTCGATATGGTTTGTGACATGCTGTACTTGGGAGATGGTATGTCGCCGCCCCTGGGACCTGTTCCCTGCATGTAATCTGACCATCTAGGACTCAACCAAGCATGTGACGACCGATGTTGAGGTGAAGTCTCAAACAAGCAGATATAAAGCGAGCACATACATGCTTTTGCAACCAAATACATGGGTAGTAACAAGCATCCCAGGCAGGGACAATTTGAACAGGGGCCGCCGCGTGTGCCAGCGGCCGCTCCCCGGAGTGTTTGCGGGCTGCCGCAATCAGCGTGACAGAGCTGCGATCCGCTGACAAGCAACTCCGGCCGCTGGGTGGGCGCACACACAGCGCTGGGCAGCTCAAGTCTTTGCTGGCAGCCACTGCCGCAACACGACCCAGCTGTGCTCTGCCACCCCACCCCAACTTGCTGCAAAGCAACACGCACGAATATGCACATCGTTCTTGTCATGCACAAACACAAAACGTCAACTGCATGCACAAACGTGCGGGGCGCTGCGACTTACTGCTGACAGCCCGGCCGGGCCACGCAGCCCCGCGCCACTCCTTCGCCGCTTCAAGCAGCGCCCGCGCACGTGGCCGCCGCCCCCGCGCCGCCGCCCTCCGCGGCAATCCCCGCCGCCAGCAGCGCGATCTCGAGCTCGTCCGCGGCCCGCTGCAGCGGCGGCCGCACCGCGTAGCGCGCACGCATTACGCGGCCCACGCCGCGCGCGGCGGCGGCGTAGCTCGGATTGGAAAGCACCTGGGTAGTGGGTAAATCAGGATAGGCACCGGGCAGGTGGGCGGCCCACGTGGTGACGTGAGGCGTCACGTGGGTGCTGAGGCAATTGCATCTGGTTGCCCGATGTAGGGTTCAAAATTCGAACCCTAAAGCTTGAGATTGTTGTATTCCAGCCACTGACACGTATGCTGCTAGTGCAGCGCCTCGCCCACGACAAGGGGGGGGGTGCCTGCAAAGCGGCCCGCCTGACAGCGCGGGCGCCTGCGCCACTGCAGCTGCATGCCATACGAGGCAGCACTCTTGCAAGACCGCCGGCCACGTCACGCTTCACCTGCACCAGCCCGATGCACACACACACGCGCGCGAATGCTGTGCCTGACAGTAGCCGCCCAGGGGCACGGTTTCGGCCACCGGCGCCTGCCAGAGCCTGCGGTGCCCCTCGGCGCGCGGCCAGACAACGGTGAACAGGCCTGCGTCGTGCCGCACCCCCAACACGCCGTACCCCCAACACACCTCCTTAATGCAGTCATGAACACCCTCCGCCCGGACTCGCGCGCAGCGCCGTCCCCCCTCGCTCCTCCCCTCGCCGCCCGCGCCACCAGCGCCGCCGCCGCCGCCGCCGTTGCCGCCGCAGCGAGGGACGCCCCTGGGCGCGAAGACCGGCGCTTCTGGGCACGTCAGGACGAAGCCGCGGCCCTCCCCCTTTCCTGCATTGTCCAGCTGCTCTGCCGTGAAGGGGAAACCCACCATGGGCACCCCATGGAACGCGCCTGCGCGGAGGGATAGATGAGGCAGGAATCAACCCGGCGGGGGCGCTTCACACTGTCCTTTGCCAGCCGATTGGATCTTTTGAGAGGGGGCGGTGCGCTTTTGAGGGGCGTGGCGGGATGCAGCGACCAGGCATGGCGCTCCAGAAGCCGGGGCCCTGAAACAAACGGACGCGCAGGGTTGCGTTTTGTATCATGTGGGCAGGGATTGGAGCGACAGCCAGATGATGGTGGGTTGAGTGGGCGCGCACCGCCGTAGAGGGAGTGGAGGCCAAAGTGTGAGACAAAGACCAGGGTGTTGGGGTGGGCCAGAACATTGTTGTCCGGGTACCTGGTTGTTTTGGGGGGAGAGGGGGGTTTGGGAGGGGGGTGCGGGCGTGTTTTGCACCCGATTGCGCGTCAGTCGGTTGCGGTCGCAGTTGGCTCCGGTTGGTATTCTTGTCGCCTGGTCCGCGGCTGCGCGGGGCGGGCCGTGCGGCCTGGCCCTGGCTGCCGGGCCGACCTGGCTCGGTGCAGATGCTGCAGGGCGCTGCAGCTACCCGCGGGCTCGCTGCATGCAGCGCGCTCGTCGGGCGCGCCTCACAGGCGCAGCCGCCGCGCTCGGACGGGCCTGCCCTCTCGGCACGTGTTGGATGCACGTGGGCCGCCGGCAGGCGCCCGCGTCCTGCCCGCGCACCACGACACGACGCGCGTGTTGGGCCCCAGCGGTAGGTCGGACAGCGACAGACCCTCTGGCAGCGAAGAATCGCGCACACCCCACAGCACGCGCACGCCCTGGCCGCCGTCGCCTCCCCCGCCGCCGCCGCCGGCAGCCCTGGTGACGCCGTCCTCGTTGCCTCCTCCGCCGCCGCCGGCCCGGGCGCCGCCGCCGGCGTGACGTGCCAGCCGCAGCTCCCCGAGGCGCGCAAAGGCGCGCGACAGCTCGAAAAAATCCGCCGCGCCCAGAGATCTTCCATACACCTGGAATTTAAATGGGCATGGGGCTGATTACGAAATTTTGGCACACGTACATTGTATTGAGTGAGGGTGGGGGGTCACACGAGGCGCGTGCTGAGCTGGCTTTTCAGGGGTGTCCAGGGCAGCCGCCGCGCATGCGTGTGCCAACGCATACAAAGGCGGGCGAATCTGCGCTCAGGGGCGAGCGCCGTTCCCGAGCATGCATTTTCCCAACCCATCCACGGCAAGCACTATACTATATATATGCACATCTATGAGTGTGGATACATAACCAATACACACGTTCTCCCCAGCAGGCTGAGACGCGCACCGTGGTGGACCCGAAGCCGACCAGCACGAGCCCTCCGGCCGCATCCCCGACAAACGCCGCCAGCTCAGCGTCCGCGATGGGGCCCCCAGGGCGCGGCGAGATCGCGCCCACGACGGCCTGGCCGGCGGGGATGGGCCGCGGGTGCTCGAGCTCCAGTGACAGCATGCGGACGCGCGGCTCAAGAGGGTCGCAGGTGGCGGGGCGGCCGGGGGCACCTAGGTCGGGCGATGATGCATGGGGGTGGGAAGGGTTTGCGGGGGTGGGGGCAGGAGAGGGTTTCAGAGATACTTGGAGGGTTTCGGGGGTTTGGAGGATTTATTGCGGGGGGGATGATCGGCTGGAGGGTTTAGAGGGGTTTGGAGGGGTTCGTAGGGGTCTGCATGGGGTAATAGCACCAGGCTGCGGTGCGGGGTTTCTGGCTGCTGCCGTCGCATAGGCTGGAAGCGGCGGGTGCATCGCTACATGCCCCGCTGCCGCCGCGCCGTTGAGCCTGGGGCATGGCCGAGGCGTGAGAGATCAACAGTTGTGCCCCCGCCCACCCCGTCGTCCGCCCTCCCAAGCCGGCGGCCGCTGCCCCCAAGTACAGGCCCCGACCCTCTCACCCTTGTGCTCTGGCGGCAGGCCCACATCGGCCCTGAGCGCCGCCCACTCTTTGCGCGGCAGGGCCAGGGGCATGGCGCGCAGCAGCACCCACTGCGCTGCGTTGCGCAGGCGGGCGCGCCAGCTGGCCGCCAGCTGGCGCGGGGTGAGGCCCGACATAAACTGCGTGCGCGCGCGCGTGAGTAAGAGTGAGAACAGTTCGGAGATTGTGTAGGGCTTTACTCAAGACTCTGCGGGAACAGGTCGTTCGTTCATGT